ACATTGCTAACTCCAGCTTTCACACCTGACAGAAATGAGTAAAATAGAAACCTTAAGGGTTTATGGTGGTTGGTTAATCATTTTCTCTTTTGGAAGCTAGAGGTTTTATATCTCAATGCCATGTTCCATAGTAAGATTTAGAAAGGTTGAGCAGCGTGCCATTAATAAAATTTTTATGCCCTGGCCGGTTTGGCTTAGCAGTTAGAGCATCGGCCTGCGGTACAGAGAGACCCGGGTTCGGTTCCCGCTAAGGGTGCGTACCTCGGTTGCAGTTTGTCCCCGGCCCTGGTTGGTCGTGCGGTGGCAGCCACTCGATGTGTCCCTTTCACATTAATGTTTCTCTCTCTCTTCCTCTCTCTCCCTCCCACTCTTTCTGAACAAAAAATGGAAAAATGTCCTAGGGTGAGGATAAAAATAAAATAAAATAAAATTTTTTGAATGACGATTGTGAAAGGGGAGGGACTGTGACTGCTGGTAGATTAATTAGAGAAGAGGCTTCTTGTACACAATGAAAATATGGCCATTGATTAAAAAAATTTTTTTAAACAATTAAAATGTGTTTCTATTGATTTTTTTTTTTTTTTTTTTTTTTTTTTTAGAGAGAGGAAGGGAGAAAGAGACAGAAACATTGACCAGTTGCCTCCTGCATGCCCCACAACCCGGGCATGTGCCCTGACCAGGAATTTAACTATGGGAGGACACTCCATCCACTGAGCCATATCAGCTGAGCTGGACTTGATTTTAATTAAAGGCTCTGGGATGTATGTTTTAGAAAGTCTGAATTGCTTATATTCCACATTACATGAATGTATTCTGCAGAAAATCCAAATTACACATAGCCCCAATTGTAATACAATTTCTTATGTGTATTTCAACCTAATGGTGAATGAGTTCTTGGGGATTATTCAAAATCTAGTTGGGACAGAGAAAAGCAGACCTCTCTCTGACACCTTGTGGCTGCAGCTGAGCACTACAAATGTTGCTGATTTAGTTTATAATCAAATTACATTTCTAGGGCTCTTCACAGGAAACACTTGAAGCGCCTCTTTTTTCCCTTGAATATGAGAGAATCTGTTCAAAATGAACACACAAAATCCTTATTGCATGGAATTTCTCTGCATGTTGAAATATTCAGGCCTTTGAAACACGTTTTTATTGATTTTTTTTTAAGAGAGAGAAACGTCAACGAGAGAGAAACATTGATAGGCCGCCTCCTGCACATCCCCCACCAGATATTAAGCCCAAAACCCAGGCATGTGCCTTGACCATGAATTGAACCGGGACCTCTCAGACCATGGGATGTCATTCAATCCAGTGAGCCACACCAGCCGGGCCAAGCCTCAGCGTTTTAAAACCATTTGTATGTTTTTGTACATTTGATATTTACATTACTCAGGAATTTTGAGATTCCTTATACCATTGGCATATTAGGTATTAATGTGAATGAATTCAAAATCCCTGGAAATCAAGAAGGTTTGTTGCATTTGAACTCTTTGACATTGTTTAAAGGGTTTATAGGTGTATTCTACTCTACTGCCATAGGTTCAACTATGATGACTTTTCAAGAGACCACCAGAAAAGCCTGTTGATTAATAAGCAAATCTGAGTTTATTAAGCCTAATGTACTGAGTAGAAAACACCTGCCTTGACACACAGCCTCAGTTGTGTCTCACAGTAGGGAGATTAAGGAAATGGTATTTATAGGATTTTAGGAAGTTGGCTGGGTGATTTTGAGTTAGTTCTTGCAAGGTTGGTAAATTTGGGATTGGGCAATTTATGATGTCATGGCTTTGGATTGGTGGATATAAGGGTTTTGGAGAAAGTCTTAAGTAAACTATTTAGTTGATTAACAGCCTTCTCTCCCAGGGATCTTATCTTCTAGGTAATGTTTTCCAGGTATATCCTGAAAGAAGCAACTAAGTTATTTTTAGTTGATCTCAGTGTTGTTTAATGCAAAGACAGAAAATTATATTGATTTTATTAAACAAAAAGTCTCGTGGCTGAAGGCTTTTCTGAAAGAAAGGGTTTATTGAGCCAAATAGTAGCCAAAAAAGGACCAGGTCCTAGGGTATGAAGTCTAAACCACCAGCAGCAGGGCTAGGTGGAGAAGACAAACATGTCCACATTTCTGGAGTTGATGGGCACTTTTTTTTTTTAATCTTTATTGTTGAATGTATTACAAATATTCCTCATTTTTCCCCCATTGACCTCCTCCTCCCCACTCCCACCCCCCTCCCACCTTTTCCCACACTATTGTCTATGTCCACTGGTTATGCATATAAGTTCTTTGGTTTATATCTTCCCACCCCCCCAACCCCTTTCCCTTTGAGGTTTGTCAGTCTAGCAACCAGTTTGTTCTTCTTAATCCCTTCACCTTTTTCACCCATTCACCCAACGCCCCCCCCCCCAATCTGGCAACCAACAAAATGTTCTCTGTATCTATGAGAATGTTTCTGTCTCCCTGTTCATTTTGTTTGTAGATTCCATTGTTGATAGATATGTATTCATTGCCATTTTGTTTGTTCATACATTTTATCTTTTTCCTCAAAAAGACCCTTCATCATTTCATATAATAACGGCTTGGTGGTAATGAACTACTTTAACTTTTTCTTGTCTGGGAAACTCTTTATATGGCTATCGATTCTAAATGACAGCTTTGCAGGATAGAGTAATCTTGGTTATAGGTTCTTGCTTTTCATCACTCTGAGTATTTCTTGCCACTCCCTTCTGGCCTGCAAAGTTTCTTTTGAGAAATCGGCTGACAGCCTTATGGGAACTCCTTTGTAGGTAACTAACTGCTTTTCTCTTGCTGCTTTTAAGATTCTCTCTTTGTCTTGAACCTTTTGCATTTTGATGATGTTGTGTCTTGGTGTGGGCCTCTTGGGGTTCATTTTGTTTGGGACTCTCTGTGCTTCCCGGACTTGTATGTCTGTTTCCTTCACCAAGTTAGGAAAGTTTTCTGCCATTATTGTTTCAAACAGGTTTTCAATTTCTTGTTCTCTCTCTTCTCCTTCTGGCACCCCCGAGATGCGAATGTTGGCACGCTTGAAGTTGTCCCAGAGGCTCCTTACACTATCCTCATTTTTCTGGATTCTTTTTTCTTTTTGCTGTTCTGATTGGGCATTTTTTGTTTCCTTATATGGATGGTTTGCTTCTTGGATTTACCTACTCTACTATCGAATCTGTGTAAATTATTCTTTATTTCAGTTAATGCCTCCTTCATTTCTGACTGTGCACCCATCATCACTGACTGGTCCTCTTTTATGCTCTTGAGGCCCTCCCTAAGTTCGCTGAGGTTCTCACTAAGTTCATTGAGCATCCTTATAAGCAGTATTTTGAAGTCAGCATCTGTTAGGTTGCTTATCTCCATTTCGCTTAGTTCTTTTCTTGGGGTTTTGTCTGTTCTTTCATTTGGGACCTGTTTCTTTGTCTCCTCATTTTGGCTGCCTCCCTGTGTTTGTTTCTGTGTATTACTTAATGAGAGGTATGGGGCTAGGTGAGACCAGATACTGCTTGTTTGAAAGAATTTAGGAAAAACCCGAAGCAGGATCCAAGACAGGCCAATCCTATGGTTAAGCAAGTGCCAACAGCTTGGGTGGGCCTGAAAGTTGGGTGGGGCAGGGCCTCAGGGAATCACCAAGTCGTGGCTACCGGTGTGAGCCAGGTTGCAGGAGTCCCAGATATGGCAACTGTCTGCTGCCCCAGGGAAGGGCTCACCAAAGGAACAAAGGCCTCCTACAGCACGTTTGTTTTGGAGAAAGCCCCCTCTCCAGCCCTGGCTCCAGTGCCAAACAGCTCAGTTCTTCCCTGTATGTCTCTGGTGCCCCTCGAGCTGCCTCCCTTCCAAGCTTAGAGGGAGGGAGTTCGATAAGTCCGTGCGCGGGCCCTTTAAGGAGCTGCCTGGGGCTCCAGCCTCGTCAGCCTCCCTGAGCCTCAGTCCCCACTGGTTTTTCCAGCCTTAAGTTATGGGGACTTCTCTTCCTGGCACTGGAACCCTGAGCGGGGTGCCTGGTGTGGGACGGGGACCCCTCAGTCCTCAGGGAGGACCTTCCCAGCCGAGGTGTCCTCCTGATTTTTATCCGCCACACGTGGGTGTGAGACCAGCCCGTTGGCCTCTGCCCCTCCTCCCAGTCTGGATGTGGCTGCTGCTTTAATTCCATAGTTGTAGGATTTCCATTCAGCTTGATTTCAGGCAGTTTTGAATGATGGTTGTTCTATAGTTTAGTTGTAACTTTGATGTGGTTGTGGGAGGACGCGATACCGCGTTTACCTACGCCGCTTTCTTGACCGGAAGTCGATGGGCACTTTTATACATTATGTTTTGGAAAAGACAAATGCAAGTTGTTTTGAAATAATTTATTTATTTATTTTAATCCTCATGCGAGGACATTTTTTTTTCTTCTATTTTTCTGTTCAGATAGAGTGGGAGGGAGAGAGAGGAAGAGAGAGAGAGAGAGAAACATCGATGTGAAAGGGACACATCAAGTGGTTGCCACCCACATGACCCAACCAGGGCCGGGGACAAACTGCAACCTAGGTATGTGTCCTTAGTGGAAATCGAACTTGGGTCTCTGGACCGAAGGCCGACTCTCTAACCACTGAGCCAAACCGTCCAGGGCTTGAAAGAATTTATATTGGCTACAGATATAAGGGGGGTGGGGTGGGAAGAGGTGAAGCTTGGGCAGTCCTGAGATAGGTGCACAGCCAGTAAGGAAGAGGTTTACCACTTTTTTGATTGGTTGTGGGAAACTATCCTAAAAGTTCATGTATTAGCAGGATGCTGTGGAGTCTGATGGTCACTACAGAAGTTGATACAAAGCTCCAACATATAGTTAGGAATATAAGCAGTCTGTTGTTAGTTGTCCCACAGGTATTGACTGGTACTTTCACTCTCTTACCCACTATACTTTAACTTAGAATCTCAAAATTTTTCTCTTCTCAGTTTCTGTTCCTAAAAGTAAGACCTGAATTAACTTACATGAATCACTGTTTTGTTTCAGCTTTGCCCGAGATTTTTACATACAAATTCTACTAGTCACACTTGGCCATTCAGTGCAGTTGCTGAATTAATAGGTATGTAAAATTGACATTTCATATGTAACCTATTGCTTGCAATTAAGTTTTAAAACAAACTTTTCATTGAAAAATTATGTAAATGTGCTTTTTAAAAAATAAGTTTTATTGATTTTTTTTTTTTAGAAAGAGGAAGGGAGAGAAAGATAGAAACACTGATTGGCTCCCTCCTACTGGGGATCTAGCCCAAAACCTGGGCATGTGCCCTGACCAGGAATAGAACTGGGACCTCTCAGTCCATGGTCTAATGCTCAGTCCACTTAGCCACACCAACCAGGTGTAAATGTGCTTTAAAAAAAAAAAAAAAAAATTTTTTTTAAATTGATTTGAGAGAGAGACATCGATGAGAGAGAACATTGATGGGCTGCCTCCACCATGTCCTCCAGTGGGGATTTGGCCCACAACCTGGACATGTGGCCTGACTGGGAATCCAACCAGTGACCTCGGTGCATGGGTGGACACTCAACCATTGAGCTATACCAGCAGGGCTAAATGTGCTTTTTTTTTTTTTTTTTTTTTTTTTAATCCTCACCCGAGGACATTTTTCCATTTTTTGCACAGATATAGTGGGAGGGAGAGAGAGGAAGAGAGAGAGAGAGGGAAACATCGATGTGAAAGGGACACATCGAGTGGCTGCCACCCGCACGACCAACCAGGGCCGGGGACAGACTGCAACCGAGGTACATGCCCTTAGCGGGAACCGAACCCGGGTCTCTCCAGACCGCAGGCGGATGCTCTAACCGCTGAGCCAAACCGGCCAGGGCCTAAATATGCTTTTTTAAAAACACAAACGTATTTTAAAAACACAGGTAAACATTACCTAGTATAACAGGTATTCAAATGGATGTCAAATTAGTGAAATTAATCACAGTTCAACCTTTCCTATATTACTGTCAAAATGTATTAATTTGCTAAGTTTATAAAGCATTTATGTTGAAAGGTATTTTTTTGGGGGGTTTTTTTTTTTGGTACGTGTCCCTAGTGGGGACCGAACCTGGGACTCTCTGGTCCCAGGCCGATGCTCCAACCACTGAGCCAAACTGGCCAGGGCCAAAAGTATTTTTATTCTGATTATAAAAGAAATAGATCTGCAGAAAATGAAAATTGTTGTTTTTGTTTTTTTTTCTAAATAGTTGGGAAGTATGTAAAGCATAGAATGGATTCAACTTCCTGGTGTTAGTAAGTAGGAGGATTAATGTTATGTTAGAATTCGTGGTAACAAATTCTTGTTTCCTCCAATAGTGATCAAGGCATAGGATTGTATTTTAATAGTGTCTTAGTGAGCATGAGAATGGTAAGGTTGTGATCAGATTTACATTATGAGTATTATTTTTTTCTTAGGAAGATTCATGCACATGAATTTTCTTTTAATTTAAGCCTATGTTTGAGAAACATAATAAAGGGTGATTGTATTCCCAGATACACTTTACATTCTTTATCAGGGAAGGGTCTGTCTTAGAAAAGAAGCAACTTTTGAGCATCCTTCTTTTCTTTGATATGGTTAGATTTTCTAGAGTCTCCCAGGTAACATACTGTTCAGGTGGTGGTGGTGGTGTTTTTTGTTTGTTTATCCTCACCCAAGGATATTTTTCCACTGGTTTATTTTTAATTTTTTTTTTCTCAGCCTAGGATATTGTTCCATTGATTTTCAGATAGAGTGGCAGGGAGGGAGGCAGAGAGAGAGAGAGAAAAAGAGAGAGAGAAACATCGATGTGAGAGAGACACATTAGTTTGGTTGCCTCCCACAAGACCCCAACCAGGGCTGGGGACAGAACTGCAATCAAGGTATGTGTCCTTGTCCTGAATTGAACCCTTGATTCTTTGGTCTGAGGGCTGATGCTCTAACTGCTGAACCAAACCAGCCAGGGCTTTCCATTGATGTTTAGAGAGAGTGGAAGGGCAGGGAGGGAAAGAGGGAAGGAGGTGGGGGTGAGGGGAGAGAGAGACAGACAGAGAGACATCAGTTGGTTGCCTCCTGCATGTGCCCAATCAAACCGCAACCCAGGACTGGGAATCGAACCCAAGACCCTTCAGTGCTCAGTCTGACACTCCCAACTGTTGAGCCAAATGGGTCAGGGTTTGTTCAGGTGTTTGTTTTTATATCCCTGAGTGGATATGCTATAGTGTTGCAGCTATTCACTGTCATTCTTTTTTTATGGGAACCTGGAGGATCTGCCCAACCTGGGTTTGTTCATTTACATAGAGTGATTCTCTAGTAGAGCAACTGAAAGTCATGGTGCTCTTGGTGGTGTATCAGATTTTAAGTTTTTATTTTATTTAATTAGTTAATTTATTTAATCCTCACCTGAGGATATTTTTCCATTGATTTTTCAGATAGAATGGGAGGAAGGGCGAGAGACAGGCAGATAGACATTGATTGGTTGCCTCCCGAGCAACCCGAACCAGGGCTGGGGATCGAACTGCAACTGGGTACGTGCCCTTGACCCGAACCGAACCTGCAACTCTTTGGTCTGCAGGCTGATGCTCTAACCACTAAGCAACCGGCCAGGGCAGGTTTGTTTTTGTTTTTCTTTATTGATTCCAGAGAGGCAGACTCCTGCACCCCCCCCCCCCCGGGATTTGGCCCACAACCTGGGCATGTGCATGACCAGGAATCAAACCGGTGACCTTTTGGTGCATAGGTTGATGCTCAACCACTGAACCACACGGTCTGGGCTGGCCACATTTTAAGTTTTTAATGAAACATTGTCTTTCCTGAGGTGGTTGATTTTTAAAAGATTATTTGGTTTTATTAATTATAGGCTACCTTATGTAAGGAGAGTTTGAGAACCATTATTTATATTATAATAAACACTTTAAAATATACCTCAAAGTATTTTTGGTCAGTTAGGGATATTTGAATGGATCACAAGTTAATTTTATTACTGCTACTGTTGAAAAAAAAATTTTTTATGTATTCCTTCTTACTTACCTATTCAGAGAGAAACAAGGTTGCTGAACCAAGGGTGTTATTGGCCTGGTTGGTTTGGCTCAGTAGTTAGCCATCGGCCCGCTGACTGATGAGTTGAGGATTCGATTCGATTCCGGTCAAGGGCACGTACCTCAGTTGTGGTTCGTTCCCAGCCCTGATCAGGTCGTGCAGGAGGCAACCAGTCAGTGTGGCTCTAACACATTGATGTTTCTCTCTCTCTTTCTCTCTCTCTCTCTCTCCCTTCCTCCCTCCCTCCCTCCCTCCCTCCCTCCCTCTCTCTGTCCCTCCCTCCCTCCCTCTCTCTGTCCCTCCCTCCCTCCTTCCCTCCCTCTCTCCCTCTCTCCCTTCCCACTCTATCTAGTGATAGATGGAAAAATATCCTCCGGTGAGGAATACAAAAATAAATAAATAAAAATAAACAAGGGTGTTAAACAGGAGGTGTAGAAGTGTAAACACCACCAGAAATTTTGGTTAGATTCTATTAAAAAATAAAATTCAACCGAGTAAATTTGGAGATCTAATTATTCTGAAGCCATTCATGAATGGGGCAGCATCCCATCTAGCAACTAGAAGAGCCCTTGAGGGGTTGTACAAAATGGAAGAATTTTATATGATGCAGGGTAGGGAAGCTGTTAGTGAAAGAAAAGAAAGGGTTATTTTGGGAATATCTGTGTGTATGTTTGGGAGGGAGTTTTCATTATCCTGTGCCTTGCCTTGCCTGTTTTTTCTGTGAGGGATGGAGAACCTGTGTAGATCACTCTTACTGGTGCTTGATCAGAAAATTCCAGACCGGTTAAGATTAATTAAGATAATATTTCTGGGAGAGGCTAAAGCTGCAGTTAGATCAGGTATTAAAATCTAGGTTTGGTATCGTGGGTTTTTAGCTTGAGGGACACCATTTTGGGCCTGTGGTTTTCTCTTTAACAATTGAAAAGGGCCACAATTTGAAGAACTCTATAGAAGAGAAACCTTCATCTATGTATACAGCTTAGCAGTAAATGATGCTGCTTTCTCATTTGTTCAGCAACTACATTGTGTCCCTTCACATCAAGTCGAGTGCTGGTTGAGTGACATCAGCTTTTAGCTTCCCTGTGATAGATAGCCAGGGTGGTTTTTTGGGCAGAAGACCTTGATTATCTCTGTTGTACAGTGATTCCTACTTTTACACTTTTTCATCATAGTAGGTACCAGTATTTGCTGTGTGTATAATGAATGGAGGGTTTTGGAAAGAATTATATAATAGTCAATGAGCGATATATAACAGGGTGCAATTTTTCAGTTTCATGTTTTCAAATCATAGGCGTCCTTAACATTTCAACTTTTTAAAGTCCTTAAAATATTGTATTATGGTGCTTGTTAAAGGATTGCTCTGAACTAACTGGATTAAAAAATACACAAACAAAATTTTTCAAAACTTTTTTGTTTTTCAGATAATGCATACGATCCTGATGTGAATGCTAAACAGATATGGATTGACAAAACAGTGATAAATAGCCACATATGCTTGACATTCACTGATAATGGGAATGGTATGACTTCAGATAAATTACATAAAATGTTAAGGTATGTAAAAGTGTCACACTTTATCTAGTGTAAGGGTTTCATGTGTCATATTTATTGTCTGTGTTTTTGTTTTTAAACATGAAATTCTCTAGTGTTAGGTTATTAGGCATTCTCTACCATCATTCTTTTACCACTCTCCACCATGTCTGACTGAATCTAAATTTCCACCTTTTTTTTATAGAGTTGTAGCACATTGATATCAGTTATTTATACTTTAGTGTAAATTAGTTTTAAGCAGTATTTCTAATAAGACTTACCACTTTGGGATGGGATGTAATTTATCCCAAAATGATTCTTCAGAGGATGAGGAAGCAGCATAAAATAGTCGTAAGGCCTTGGACTCTAGGGTCACAATATAGAATGCTAAAATACTCAGCAAAGGTACAGGGTAGAAGGAGAATTTGGTAGCAGAGGCCTTTCTACTGTTCCTCAAATACTCCTTATGCTGCCAACAGTCAAGGTGACCCCATCGGTAATCATACTACCGTAGGCTTGCTGAGAACAAGAGAATCATTCACACTTACAGGAAGAGATTTCAGGGGGTGCAATTTCAAGACCCCAGGGACCCAAATTATAACTCAGCCATTTAGCCAGGATGTGCCAGGCCAAGAGCTAAGAGCTCCTGTTTTAGTGTTTGTAATCCTTAAATACCCTCTGCTATAGACTTGGTTTTCTTCATCTCAGAGATGGGAAAACATTCAGAGGCAGATTAAAATTTATTTGCCCAAGATAATACATCTAGGTAGGATGAGGCCATTATACAAAACCAGGCTCTTGCCGTATTACAGTTTTTGAATGAAAAACTTGAAGATTATATGCATTTATTTTTTAAATCTTTCTCTTTTTTTTTAGCTTTGGCTTCAGTGACAAAGTCACCATGAATGGTCATGTCCCAGTTGGATTGTATGGGAATGGTTTCAAGTCAGGTTCTATGCGTTTGGGTAAAGATGCAATTGTTTTTACCAAAAATGGAGAAAGCATGAGCGTGGGCCTCTTGTCTCAGACCTACTTGGAAGCCATAAACGCAGAACATGTTATTGTCCCAATAGTGGCCTTCAACAAACACCATATCCTTTGATTTTGAAGTGGAAACTATATAGAAACTCTGAAAAAATAATGTGAACCATTCTATCCTTTTGCCTTCTCCAGATTCTTGTTTTTTTGTAGTTGTTAATCCTCACTCATTGATTTTTTTAGAGAGAATGGGAGGGAGAGGGAAAGAGAGAGATGTAAGAGAGACACATGGATTGGTTACCTCCTATATGTGCCACCTGATTGGGGCTGGGGATTGAACCTGCAACCCAGGTATATGTCCTTGACCAGGAATTTAAGCCTTGACCCTTCAGTTTGAGGACCACCGCTCTAACCACTGAGCAACACTGGCCAGGGCCAGATTCTTGTTTTTTCAATCACACCTTCCATGTTAGCTTCTGTTCCTGTCCCTGCCTTGATTCTACATCTGCGGCTAAGCGTTTGTCCCTCTATTCTCTGTGGGAATTGTGTCATGGAAATTCTTAGCGTTAGGTGGTTGCATTTCATGTTGAACTTCCTGTAGCCTTCCTCTTTATTTTAATCTTACTGTGCTCTGGTAAGACTTGTGGTCTGGCTTGAAAATTTTACTAATTACTGTGACAATCACGATATCTTTAGGAGAAAATATTTCAGTATAAATACATTTGAAATATTGGAAACCATTACATTAGAGATAATAAACTTGCTCATCCTTTTGAGTATTCATTTGAAATCAAACTTCCATTTTAAAACTTAGGAAATGATTTAGGAAATAGTTTTTCTGTTAAGTTTGTTTTCATATTACAATTGTGGAAAATACGTTGCTGGTTTAAGTCTTTAACTTAGTATATACGACAGATGATTAATTTAGCAGAATCAGAAGCAAGCCTTGCTGCAATTCTGCAACATTCTCTGTTTTCTACGGAACAAAGTTTACTAGCAGAACTGGATGCTATTATGGGTAAGAAGGGGACAAGGATCATCATATGGAATCTTAGAAGGTAAATATAGACCACAACTAGTTGTTAATCATTGGGGAAGAAAAGTGCATGTGCAGGAATGATTATACTCATCCATTGATTGTTACACAGAATAGAAGTGCATTAGAAGGGGCTCATTTTTTGCATAATGATTTGTCTTTTTCAAGCGTATTTTATTGAGGCCACTTTGGCTTTAATTTGAAATAGTTTTATATTATTAAACAAATTTCCTAGCTTTGTGATTTAGTCTCCATAGCACTCTATTCTCACTCTTTGTTTTTCCACCTCTCTCTTCAAAACAATAAATCAATTAAACTAACAAACAGATAAATGAGAAGATAAAAACTTAGCTAAGTTCCAACTTCTGTAAGTTAAAAGAGAAATCTTTGTCCATTTGGTCTATTGCTTAAAGCTAAGCATGATTTAGCATCTGGTGAGAAAATGAATATTGATGAGACTCCTTTGTTGCTGAAATTTGTAATTCTTTGTCCTTGTGATGAGAATAAGATCCTTTGCAAATAAAAGGTCTGAAATTTAGGATGACTATGTAATATTGAGAGATCTAAGATATAGTGAACCATAGGAATAAAGCACAAATAGTGGCAAACCCAAAATACTTCACATCTTGTGCTTTTCTGACCTGTATTCCCTTTTTCTTTTTTTTTTTTAATCATCACATGAGGACCTTTTTTTGCATTTATCTTCAGATAAAGTGGGAGGAAGAGAGAGAGAGAGAGAAACATCGATGTGAGAGAGACACATCCACTGGCTGCCACCACACCACCCCAACTAGGGCTGGGGACAAACTGCAACCGAGGTATATGCCCTCAGCGGGAACCAAACCTGGGACTCTGGTCCGTGGGCCTATACTCTAGCTGGTGAGCCATACCAGCCACGGCCTTTTCCTTTTTTCTTGCTTTTTGCTCCCTACACCCCCTCCCCATTTTTTTGTCCTCACCCAAGGATATTTTTCCATGTATCTTCAGATAGAGTGGGAGGAAGGGGGAGAGAGAAAGACACACATATCGATTTGGGGCTGGGGATGAACCGTAACTGAGGTACGTGCCCTTAGACAGAATTGAACCTGTGACTTCTTCGCTGTGGGCCGACACTCTAACCGCTGAGCCAAATCAGCCAGGGCTAGTTTTTATTTACACTTTTTAAAAAGGTGATTCCAGATTCATGTGCAGTTGTAAGAATAATTAAGAGATCTTGTGTACCCTTTACCTAGTTTCCCCCAATGGTAACATCTTGTAGAATATAGAACAATAGTATAGTTGATATTGACCTTGATATAGTCAAGGTAGAGGACATTTTTATTACCACAAAAATTCCTCCAGTTGCCCTTTTACGTCCACACCATTCTCTCCTTAATCCCTAGCATCCTCTAAGGTGCTCTCCATTTCTGTAACTTTGTCATTTTAAGACGGTTACATTAGGGGGGTGGGGGAGGGGTGGGACTAGATAAACCAAAGAACTTGTATGCATAACCAGTGTAAAAAGATGGTAGTGTGGGTGCAGGCAGGAGGGATGTGGGAGTGGGGAGGAGGGGGTCAATGGGAGAAAAAGGGGGGGATATCTGTAATACTTTCAACAATAAAGATTTTTTTAAAAAGAATGTTACATAAAAGGAATAACTGTGAAACTGTTGCTTTCATTCTGCATAATTCTCTGGAGATTCATACAGGTTCTTGAGTGTGGCGGTAGTTTGCTTCCTTTTTCCTGCCAAGTAGTAGTGCATGTGTGGATGGTGCACCTATTGAGGCCATTTGGGTTGTTTATAGTTTTTTGGCTATTGAAAATAATGCTCTAGACGTTGGTGTACAGGTTTTTGTGGGAATATAGTCTGAATTTTTCTTTTTTTTTTGGTACGTGTCCCTACCGGGAACCAAACCCGGGACTCTCTGGTCCGCAGGCCGACGCTCCAACCGCTGAGCCACACCTGCCAGGGCTAGTCTGAATTTTTCTATGGTAAATGACCAGGAGTATAATTGATGAGTCAGAGGGAAGTTGCACGTCTAGTTCTGTAGGAAACTGCCAGAATGTTTTTCTTTTTTTTAATATGTTTTTATTGATTTTTTTTTTAGAGAGACAGGAAGGGAGAGAGAGAGCTAGAAACATCGATGTGAGAGAGAAACATTGATCAGCTGCCTCCTTCATGACCCCACTGGGGATCGAGCCCGCAACCCAGGCATGTGCCCTGACTGAGAATTGAACTGGTACCTCTCAGACCATGGGACATCGCTCAGTCAACACTGGCTGGGCACCAGAATATTCTTTAAAGTGGCTCTACCACTTGACAGTCCTACCAGCCATGTGTATAAATACAGTGTATAAATTTTTCATTTTCCTAGATTCCTTTTCTTTCATTATATTTCTTGCTTTTGTTCTACCCTCCACCACTATCATAGCGCCTACCACATATAGGTGTTTTGTTTTGTTAATAGTATTTCCTTGCTTTACTTGCTGTAAAGGTAAAATTTTGCTCCTTCAAAAAATTAATTTTACAGCTACCGAAGTGCAACAGAGTTTGATTTTGATAAGGATAAATACGACATCAGAATTCCAGAAGATTTAGATGAGACAACAGGGAAGAAAGGATACAAGAAGCAAGAGAGGATGGACCAAATTGCCCCAGAAAGTGACTATTCTCTAAGGGTATGTATGTATTTATTGCTCCTGTGGAAATGAAAAATACATTAAATAGTGGAAGTTATGTTGTCCACTTGTATTATAAATGCTGCCATTGATCTCTCAAAGTATCTGAGACATGAGCCAACATATTAAACTTTTCATGAGCACATTGGTGGTTTTATTTGCTTAGAAACAGTTTTTTAATTGCAAAGGGATCAGGTCCAATAGTGTTTGTCTTTCTTTCACTATGTGGTTAAATTATTTAAATTGAGAATAATGGCCACATGGATTAATCAATAAAAAATACTAAATTCAGAGTTTCTTGTGTTTTTTTAAATTTAAAATATTCTAGAATACGCACACCTTGATATCTTAAAGCAATACATTATGTATACACTAGTGATAATGTATATAAATATAATTTTGTGATAAATATCTCTGAAATTTGACCTTAGAAATGATTGTTTTTGAGCTTGAGGAAATTAGTATCTAAATATAACAGTGTTGATAAGATTATTGTTCTGAGTCACTATAATAAGATATATCATGCTAACTATTCCTTTTATTTTTGTGCTGCAATGAGTCCATAACCACAAGCATAAGTGTTAGTGTATAATTTATAGTTTTTTTCATTTTCAAACTTATAACTGTCCCTTTTTTTTTTAAATTCTCACTTGAGGATATTTTTCTATTTATCTTCAGATACAGTGGGAGGGAGAGAGAGGGAAAGAGAGAGAGAAACATCGACATGAAAGGGACACATCCACTGTTGCCTCCCACATGACCCCGACCAGGGCTGGGATGAACCACAACTGAGGTACATGTCCTTGACCAGAATTGAACCCATGACTCATTGGTCCATGGGCTGATGCTTTAACCACTGAGCAAAACGGCCAGGGCATAACTGTTCCTTTTATTTATTATACTTGTTATTTTTGGCTGAATAAAATTTACTGGTGTTTTTTAAATTATAGCCATGTATATTGTACTTGACAGAAGAGTCAGGAAATAAAGTCCTTTTTTTTTCTTTATTGATTTTCAAGAGAGAAGAAACTGATGAGAGAGAACATCGAATGGCCGCCTCCTGCATGCCCCCACTGGGGATCTAACCCACAACCTGGGCACGCGCCCTGGCCGGGAATCAAACCAGCGACCTCTTGGTGCATGGGTGGATGCCCAACCACTGAGCCACACAGGCTGGGCTGCAAATCATTTTTACTGACTATAGTATACTGAGTTTATTTTTAGTGAAAAGTACATGTATATTACTTTATTGAAGAGTTAATTAGGTCCTTTATGAAGTAAGGTGGTAGTTTTTTATTTTTATTTTATTTTATTTTTTTAAAAATCCTCACCAGAGGACATTTTTGCACTTATCTTCAGATAGAGAGGGACAGAGAGGGAGGAAGAGAGAGAGAAACATCAATGGGAGAGAGACACATTGAGTGGTCGCCACCCACACGACCCCAATGGGGGCTGGGGAGAAAGTGCATCTGAGGTACGTGCCCTTAGCGGATCCAAACCTGGGACTCTCTGGTCCGCAGGCCGATGCTCTAACCGCCAAGCCAAACCAGCCAGAGCAGGTGGTAGCTTTTTAAATACATACGTAAGTAGTGTTGAACAAATCTACAGATAAGTATTTCAAAAAAACAGATATTGTTTTGTGTCTTTTCAGGCTTACTGCAGTATATTATATCTAAAGCCAAGAATGCAGATCATCTTACGTGGACAAAAAGTAAAGACACAGCTAGTTTCGAAGAGTCTTGCTTACATCGAACATGATGTTTATCGACCAAAATTTTTAGTATCCTTTATTTTTCTTTTTATGCTGCCATATAGAGCTATATTAGTTGTGTGTTCCCCTACTGCAGAGTTGGGGAACCTTTTTTCTGCCAAGGACCATTTGGATATTTATAACATCATTTGCAGACCATACAAAATTATCAACTTAAAAATTAAGTTGTATTTGATCAGGCTGATTTGGTGAGGTATGTGATGCTAGCTGGTATTAATAAGGCCCATGGGCCAGATGTTCCTATGTCTGCCCTACTGCCTTTTCTCCTGGTACTGATTCTGATCCTCTCTAACTTTGTCTTTTTTCTGGACTTTTGGACTGAATAAATAATGGAATAGAAAGGATGATTTGAAGGGAGTGAAGTGGTTTGTTCAGAATTTTCCTTAACATTTAAGACGAAAACAGTGAAAATTACTTTTGGATTCAACTGCAGAAATAAAGATCATTATGGGATAATGATGTATCACAAAAATAGACTCATCAAAGCATATGAAAAAGTTGGATACCAGTTAAAGGTTAGCTGGAAATCTCTATATCTTTTATAAAAGTTAGGATAACTTGTTATTGGGTCAAATGTGAAATAATATGCTTTTTGCCTAATGACTTTTTTTTGTTAATTCTCACCTGAGGATATTTTTTCCACTGATTTTTAGAGTGGAAGGGGGGGGGGAGAAACATCGATGTGAGAGAGACATATCGATTGGTTGCCTCCCACATGACCCCTAAAGGGGCTGGGAATTGAACCTGCAACCCAGGTATGTGCCCTTGACCAGAAATTGAACCCGTGACCCTTCAGTCCTCTGGCCAGAGCTCTAACCACTGACCCAAACTGGCCAGGCTTGCCTAATGATTTTGAAACGTGTTTTTAATAACATTGGTGTGGGTTTTGAACTTAGAATCCTTTTTTTTTTTTTAAGCCTCATCTGAGGATTTTTTTTCTATTTATCCTCAGATAGAGTGGAAGGGAGGGGCAGGAAGAGAGAGAAACACTGATGTGAGTGAGAGAGAGACATGGACTGGCTGCCTCCTGCACAACCTGACGAGGGCCAGGGACTGAACTGCAACCGATGCACGTGCCCTTGACCAGAATCAAACCCATGATTCTTTGGTCCTCAGGCTGATGCTCTAACCACGGAGCAAAAGTAGCCAGGACTAGAGTACTTGATATTAATTTCTCATTTGGTCTTGAATAATCTTATGAGGGGAGCAGAACATTTCATCTCTGTTTTACAGATGAGGAAATTGGGGCTAAGTAACTTGCCCTAGACCCAAAGATGCAGATCTTTTGATACATTTGGATCTGGATCCCTGCTTATTTCCTGCTGGAATGAAATTGGTTGGTTTTAACTAGTTCTGACTTGATAGCCTGAAAAAAAAAAACAGTATCTAGTAGGTGATTTACTTTTTAGGAGTTCATTCTTAAATATATAGAGCCTTCCTCCTAAGTCATATCTATTGTAGACTTCAATTTAGGATGGTGAACATTGCCTCATGTCAATCTGTTTACCCTTCTTTGTTCTCACCAAAAGAATTGTTGGTGTGTGTGTTAATTCAGTGATAAATTCTAAAAATCATTTTTTTAAAGGTTTTAAATCTAGGCATATGTTGTTTTCTAATTCTGTGATTTTTTGATTCATCTTATTTTGTTCTGAATTCTTCGTAGATATGATGTGAGCTCTACACAGTATGATAGAATGTAATTCAGCGATTTGTAACCCTGTATTACATATTTTACATGGCAGGAGCTCAGAATATAGCATTTTTGCAAAAGTAAATGAACATTTTGGGCTCTTGTAACCACTAATTTTAGTCACCAAATAAATCCAAAACTCTGGCAACCATGACATAAAGTATCAATAACTTATTTAAAATCCTGATTTTCATTTATAATCAGAATAGTAAAAAGTTTCTTGACTTCACTGGTAATTGGAAATGCATTTTTGGTAATAGGCCTTAGTTTTCAAGTGCTCTGGGATTCAAAAGAAATACTGTATCTGCCACAGAATGTAAATTTTTTTTATCTTTTACCATTTACTAATCTGACTTAAGTAAGAGACATAGCCCTTTTTCTCACCCAGTTAAATTTGCATATATATAATTTCTGGTTAAGCTTGCCCTTGTAAATGATAGGCTTTTACAACCAACTTTTAATGTTTTTCTTTACCAGATGATGGACTAGACCCAGTGTTTGCATTCTGTGGATTCAATAAACATTATTAAGTAGGCGTTGGATAGCAGTATGATATCCCATAATAGCTGCTCAGCATAAAAAGGTGATAAGATGCAGAGCATTCCCTCAGAGCTCAGTGTGGTGAGGGAATGTGGTCCATCCTCAGAGTATCAGAAAAGAAGGCATCTTGGAGAAAGTGGTTATTGAGACGAGTCTCAGTTGACTGCACTGTGTTGGAAAGTCTGGCAAGGACTTTCCAGGCAGGGAAAAGAATATCTGCAAAGGAAGGAAAAGAAGCTCTGAGACGATGACATCATTAAGGGAATAATTTGCTCTGCCTGGATCAGATCATAAGTGGGAAATAGAGTAATGGGAGAGACAGGAAGATGAGGCTGGAACGAAGGTGAATGTGAATTACAGATCAAAGGGTACTGTGATTTGCAAGTGCTATGAGATGCAGGACCACTGATGATTCTTCATCAAGTAGGATTACAATTAGATTTATATAACTTCCTCTGTAGGATAGGGCAAAAGTAGCTTTACAGTTCTTATGGAAAATAGTACAATAATTTATAAGTAATAATAATACAAGAATAAACTCTTTCTCATACAACTGTAAACCTACTTTTGCCTCATCCTACATAGTTACATTTATGAAAATTTTCATTTTGTAAATTACATTTTCAAAATATACTTGATAATCACACACAGGTAGTCAGATTATGACTCATGCTTTGAGTTCAGTATTTTAGCGCACAGAGTTTAAAAAAACTAATTTTTACTGATGTAGGTTTTTATTTCATTGCTGTTAACTGGATGTGTAACTTTGGATAAATGGCTTTAATTTTTATTTAAAATGCTAATTTTAAATAAACTTAAGTAGAATATTATGTTCCAGAGCCTTTGCTTTGGCACTGTGGATATAGATATGAGTTAGTTATGGTTTCTACTGTTATAAGAAGTTGCATCCCAGTAGAGTGGTCTTTTTTCCCCTTATATAAAATTGGGGATGATAACACTTGTCTAAATGGATACTTGACAACAGTGGAAGTGGTTTTGGAGGAAAGCTCTAATATGTTTAGGAATTAACTCCAGGAAAAGTAAATTACTGACCAGACGCTATTTTTCAGTGTAAATTTTATGAGATAAAATATAGGAAAATGTTTGATACAAATTATAAATCTTTGTGGAAGAGTGATTATGTTGAGCCATCATGTCTTATATTTAAAACACCTATTTCATTTTATTTTTTAGGCAAACAACATGGGTGTTGGAGTAGTGGGAATTATAGAGTGCAATTTCCTGAAGCCAACTCATAATAAACAAGATTTCGATTATACTAATGAGTACAGGTATGGTACCTACTTGAATTTTTGACTTTTGTTTTTTCTTTGTACATTTTTGACTTTTTGCAGTTTAATTTGGAAATACTTTCATAGCTTTTTCTAAGATGAATTTTTTAAATCTCGTGGATGTTTTTACAGTGTAGAACATTAAGAAAATGGGTAGGTGTGTCCAGCCAGTGTGGCTCAGTGGTTGAGCATCAACCCATGCACCAAGAGGTCGCCGGTTTGATTCCTGGTCAGGGCACATGCCCAGGTTGTGGGCGGCCTGATCTCCGGTTGGGGGCATGCTGGCCAGTTGATGTTCTCTTTCATTGATTTTTTTTGGTATTTTTTTGTTTTTGTTTTTATCCTCACCCGAGGACATTTTTCCATTTTTTTGTACAGATAGAGTGGGAGGGGGAGGGAGAGAGAGAGAGAGAGAGAGAGAGAGAAACATCGATGTGAAAGGGACACATCGAGTGGCTGCCACCCGCACGACCAACCAGGGCCGGGGACAAACTGCAACCGAGGTACATGCCCTTAGTGGGAACCGAACCCGGGTCTCTCGGGACCGCAGGCCAACACTCTAACCGCTGAGCCAAACCGGCCAGGGCTGTCATCGATGTTTTTATCTCCCTCTTCCTCTTACTTTCTTTCTTAGTACAATCAATAAAGGGGAAAAAAATTTAAAAAAAAGGGGGGGGGGGTAGGTGAAAGGTTTGCACAGAAGACACATTTAACCATCGTCTTCATCCTAGGAATTGTATCCTACAAGTAGAAATATGTTCTCCCATCTTTACTGATGAAGTATTTCTAACTCAGACAATAGAGGAAGTTCCTGCTTTCTTGTTATCAACATTTTTTTTTGTATAATCATAAAATCCAGAAACTTTCTGCTTAGATGGGAACTTTAAGATAATTTAGTTCTATGTATATTAGACTGAAAGACTCTTTTAAGAGTGTTTAAAAGCCATAGAATAATTATGGTCATTAATATTACTTTTAAATTTAGTCTTATGAGCATATGTTATGGAGTAGAATGCAAATATTATGTGAATATTCGTGGTAAAGACAAATGCCATTGGCCCTCTCCTCAAATAAAGAAAAATAAAACAGAAAATGGAAGAAAGGAAATAAAGGTAATAGCAAAATCAGTGAATTAAGAACCACACACAATAATGAAAATAAATGTATCATTCAGAGTTCAGTACTTAGACAGCTACACCTGTTATTTGAATAGGGATAATTTAATACAAGGAATTATAAACTCTGTCAACATAAGAAATGTTCAAACCTGTTGAGAATTTTTTAGTTTATTTGCGCCAACCTGTCAATAATAATTTCCAGATCAAATGCTTCAGAGAATGGCAGTTTTTGTACCTTATTTTATACATTACACGAAGCTGTTCTCAACCTGTGGGTTGTGATCCCTTTGGGGGTCACATGACCCTTTCGCAGGGGTCACCTAAGACCGTCGGAAAACACATATTCCCGATGGTGTTAGGAACGGAGACATCCCTCCTCTATCCGTCTCCAGGTGGGTCCGTCCACATGCAGATACGCCCACATACAACACGAGGAACTGTATTAAAGGGTCGCGGCATTAGGAGGGTTGAGAACCACTGCATTACAGTCTGATGAAGCAGGAGAGGCAAAGCAGAGGTGGGGAGGATCTCTGGGATTGCACAAAAAGTAAAAGGAATAGCCCTGGGCGGTTTGGTTCAGCAGTTAGAGTGTTGGCCTGAGGTCCAGAGAGACCTGGATCTGGTTCCTGCTAAGGGCACGTACCTCGGTTGCAGTTTGTCCCCGGCCCTGGTTGGGTTGTGTGGGTGGCAGCCACTTGATGTGTCCCTTTCATGTGGATGTTTTTCTCCCCCCTCCCCCCATCTGAACAAAAAAAAAGGAAAAATGTCCTTGGGTGAGGATAAAAAAAAAAAGTAAAAGGAATAGACATAGACACATACTTCTTTTATCTGTGGGTGTAGGATAATTAGCAGTCAACAATTAACACAAAAATAACGAGTTTTGTGGTCTCTGCTCTGGTAGAGTGATTGTGCCCTGAGGGGTCCAGAAAAAAACGAAATTACCCCTGACATTTCAAAGGAATGTTATCCTAGATACAAAAAGACAACAGACAGGCTCAGTTAAGGGTAAAGATTGACCATTGTCAAGGAAGATACTGACTGGCTTAGGACATGACTACCAGACCATCCTGTATGGTATTTTCCATCCCTGAGTTTGTAAGGCCACCATGCAGGCCTCCCCTGAGCTTGTCAAGTTTAATATGTGGCCTCTTTTTTTCTGTCCACATCTAGAATAGTAGAAGGTGATTACTAAAAGGGGTAAAAGAAGATGGTAGGTGTCCAGAACTAGCAGACACAAAAGAGGAGCTGTTACCTCTAAGTTGAAAAAGAGTAAACAGTAAAGAAACTAGAAGGTCCCCCCTACTCCTGAAGTCAGAGATTCAGATCTCTTTGTAGAGATCATGATAAACACAGAAACAAGCTACCTCCCTGGCCATTGCTGGCCTGTACCATGGCCTAATGTCACCAGAAGCTGTGGGTGGGCTGGAGCTGCTTTGCTAGAATCTGGGCATGCTAGAACTGGTTTCTGTTGCCTGAGGGTAGAGCAAGGTCTGAGAGCACAGCTGGAGCTCCTTTGGGAGGCCAGTGGGCTCCAGCCAAATAATGACAATGGAATACCAGAAGCTGAAAGATGAGTGGCTTGCTGCCACCACCTAGCAGATTCATTGCCCACTAACCTAGTTTAACATTGCTCAGGCCGGCAAAGGATAAATGTTTACAGGATCAAGCTCTAGTATCACCAAACTGAGCAAAGAAAACTAGATATGGAACTGAGGAATAAATCGACAAGTGACCATAAAGAAGCTCAAAGTTTGTTCGTTGATAAGATTAATAGCCTATAAGTATCTGACAAGACTAAGGAAATGGAGAAAACAGCAATTGTTAGTATCAGAAATGAAAGGAAGGACATTGCTTTAGGTCTACAGACACAAACAACTATCAAAGAGATACCATGAATAATTTTTCTTCATTTTAGATGATAGGAACACATTCCGTCCTTTGAAATTAAATACATTTTTAGGAAACCTATTACATATTAAAGTCAAACACGTCAGGAAACATGGCACACAATCCTATATAAACTCCTCATAACTTTGGTAATGAATTTATGACTGTATTATAAGAAAAGAAATTAATGTCCATCTCTCCTGATCAAAATATAAAAATCTTAATTAAAATAATGACAGATACCATTCAGTGACATGTAAAAAGGTTTATGCTTTAAAACCAAGTGGATCGTATTGCAAGATGGTATGGTTGGTTGGTTGGTTTTTATTTATTTTTTTACTGGTTTTTAGTGAGGGAGAGAGAGAAATGTCAATGAGAGAGAACATATACTGGCTGCCTCCTGCATGCCCCCCACTGGGGATTGGGCCCACAACCTGGGCATGTGTCCCTTTCACATCGATGTTTTTCTCTCTCTCTCTTCCTCCCACCCTATCTGAACAAAAAAAGGGAACAATGTCCTCGGGTGAGGATAAAAAAAAAAATTCCCCCACACTGCCCAGTCAGTGTGGCTCAGTGGTTGAGCGTCGACCCATGCACCAAGAGGTCGCTGGTTTGATTCTTGGTCAGGGCACATGCCCAGGTTGTGGGCCAAATCCCCATTTGGGGGGCATGCTGGATGTGGCCAGTCGATGTTCTCTCTCATCGATGTTTCTCTCTCTCTCTCTCTCTCTCTCTCTCTCTAAAATCAGTAAAGGAAAGGAAAAAAGGGAACATTTACAAAAACCTTTAATAGAAAGGGCATAGTAATAATAGAGTTATTTAGAAATAACAATACAGAGTATTTATAAATAGCAGCAAGCATCATTTCTGATGGTGAATAATTGATAATATCCCCCCACAAGAGTGAGAATGAGATCAAGATATCAGCTATTTACCATTATTCTTGAGGAAATAACCAATACAATAAGGCAAGAAGGAGAAATGAGAATTTTATAAGAGTTAGAAAGGAAGAAATAAGTTTTCTGTAGATAATAATATATAGAAAGTCCAAAATTGTCCACAAACTGAAATTAATAAAGGAACAAGTAATATGCATTCTAGGGTTGCTGCATAAGAGGTATTCAGAAATCATTTGTATTTCTGTATAACAACAGAAAAACATGAAATTTTAAATGTTAATAAGAGTCAAAAAACCAACTACTTTGGATTAAATAAAATATGCAGATACCTCGACACACTGAAAACTACAAAATACTGTGGAGTGAAATTTAAGACATAAATAAGTAGGTATACCAGGTTCAAGAATTAGAAAACTGGGTATTATAAAAATGTCAGTTTTTCTTCAAAATAAAAAATACAATTTCAGTTTAAAAACAATAACAAAAAACCTAACGTGTGTGTGGGTATTGATATATTGATAAGCTTATTCTAACCTTTATTTGGACAGTCAGAAGACCAAAGATAGTTAAGACAGTCATTGAAGAACAACAAGCAAGAGGATTTAAATAACACTTTTAAAGCTGTAGTAACTAAGAAAGTGGGTATTAATGGAAGGAAGACAGTCTAGTGAAATAGATTTGAGAAGTCAAAAAATAACCCCCCACTTTGCATACATATGGTCACCTGATTTATGACAAAGGTTACATTAGAGTGTAGTAAGAAAGTGATCTTTCCAAAAGAGACCATGTCAATCGGCTATCTGTATAAATAAAATGAACTTTAACTCCTACCTCTCAAATGAAGCAAAAGGCCAATTCTAGATGGATTGTAGCTCTAAGTGAGAAAGGCAAAACCAAAATGGAAACAAACATACTTTTAGAATCTTTAGTTAGGCAGGTTTTTTGAAACAATATGCAAAAAGTTTCAATCATATTGGGCAAAAATGGAAATTTATCTACAGTGAATAAAACAGCAAATGTTGGCAAGATGTGAGGCAGTTGGAACTCTTATTGTACATTGCTTGTGGATGTAAACTGTCGATTATTTTTGTAAACTATTAGTCTCTGTCAAGTAAATACCCACTCTATGACCCTGCAGTTGTACTCCTAGGTGTATTCTCAACAGAAGTCGGTGCAGTCTCATGGACTGAGGGATAGAGGTGATGAGAAAAAGAGATGAGGAAGAATTGTGACTTCAGTCTGATTTATTTCAGCAAGTCCCATTGATTTGCTTTTTAACATTTTATTGTGGGACTTGGGGTGGTGAACACACAATACATTATACAGATTATTATAGAGTTGTACACCTGAAACTGTAATTTTATTAACCAATGTCACCCTAATAAATTCAGTTTTTAAAAAACCATCTTATTGTGGGAGAAGTGAAAGTCTTAATTGTGGGAAATTGAAATATACTTGCTGGTAATGATCACATACTTTCATAAACCAAAAGTTTGAGTTGAAGCTTGTAAAGTTGGGGTTGAAATTCAGAGAGCCTGTGGTTCTCTCAGGAATTGGTTGACAGCATACTTTCATAAAAGGGGACCCAAAGTATTATTCTGTCTTATTTCCTAGAGGATCCTAGCTCTGCACTCTGTTCTTATAAAGGTCCTTTTTAAAGATCCTTCTAGAAAGTTGCTGTTACTTTGAGTGTTTTTATTAACTACTTTTTGGAGTCTTTCCCCTCACCCTCCCCATCCCCACTCTACCCAGTGCCCACATGTCCATTACTAGGTTGTGCTTTCTCTGTGTTTGACAAAGATTTAATCTTTATCATTCTTTTCTCTTAAATTGATTTTATAATTTATTTTTTTGAGGCTGACAATACTAGCACTGGGAGATAAACTGAATGATTACTGGAATGAAATGAAAGTGAAGAAAAATGCAGAATATCCTCTAAATTTGCCAGTTGAAGATATACAGTAAGTATACATTTAAAAAGTCAACCCATCCTAATTGGAGGGTACAGTGATTGTACAGTGTTCACAGTAGACTCTAACCCATAGTAAAAAATAAATTTTAGCTCTGGCCGGTTTCACTCAGCGGTTGGAACGTCGGCCTGCGGACCAGAGAGCCCCGGGTTCGGTTCCCGCTAAGGGTATGCACCTAAAAAAATGAAATAAATTTTAGCCCTGGCCAATTTGAATCACTGAGTCGCGGGTTCGATTTTGGTCAAAGGCATGTACTTTGGTTGTGGTTCGGTCCCTGGCCCTGATTGGGATCGTGTGGGAGGCAACCAGTTGATGTGTCTCTCTCACATCGATGTTTCTCTCTGCTTCCCTCCCTCCTTCCCTCCCTCCCTCCCATTCTGTCTGAAAATAAATGGAAAAATAGCCTTAGGTAAGGGTTAACAACAACAACAAAAATTCTACAACTCAAATCTGTGTGCCCTAAAATGAATTGATAACTAGGCCCTGACCAGGTAGCTCAGTTGGTTAGAGCATCATCCCAATACATTAAGGTTTCGGGTTCGATCCCTAGTTACGGCATATACAAGGAGCAACCAATGAATAGATAAATGGAATGACAAATCAATGTTTCTCTCTCTCAAATCAGTAAAACATTTTTAAAAAGTGAGCTGATGAATATATACATTTATACGTAGACAGAAAAGATTCATGAAACAGTTTTTACCCATGTGTTGTGTGTTATTTATTTCATTTTAAAAAGCCACAACTTGACCCATTACATTGATTTCACAATCCACTAATGGGTTGCATTTCATAGTGTGAAAAACCATGTGTTGTAGGATAATGAGTGTAAAGCCAGACTTGAGTTTAGATTTCTAGTTCTACTTAAGTAATTGTGACATTGAATTTCATACTTGGCCTCTTATAAGTTTCCATTTCCTTCTTTGTAAAATTGAAACATTAATAGCATTTACTTCCTGGAATTGTAAGAATTAAAAGATGTGCCTGACAAGCACTCAGAAACACAACTGAGCACACAGTAACAATCCGGTGAATGAGTAATAACTGTACTGATGGAAAGGTGTTCAAAATATATAATGAAAAACAAAGATACAACTCAATGTATTAATTTCCCATGGTATTTTGTTTGTGTGTGTCTATATACACATGTATAGTTTAACCTCCTGATATGGGTTTATTTATTAATTAATTAATTTATTTTTTTTATCCTCATTCAAGGACATTTTTCCATTTTTTTTGCTCAGATAGAGTGGGAGGGAGAGAGAGAAAGAGAGAGAAGCATCGACGTGAAAGGGACACATCGAGTGGCTGCCACCCGCGGGAACCGAACCCGGTCTCTCTGGACTGCAGGCCAACACTCTAACCGCTGCGCCAAATCGGCCAGGGCCTGATAGGGGTTTATATTTACTTTACAGACTTCAGGATTGTTTGAAGTTTCATATAACTGTGTAAATGTAGTTTTGTAAAACTAGATTTAAAAAGTTATTGGTATTGCCCAGCAGGTGTGGCTCAGTGGTTGAGCATCGACCCATGCACCAAGAGGTTGCCACTTTGATTCTCAGTCAGGGCACATGCCCAGTTTGTGGGCCCGGTCCCCAGTGCGGGCATGCAGGAGGTGGCCAATCGATGTTCTCTTTTATCGATGTTTCTATTGCTCTCTCTCCCTCTCCCTTCCTCTCTCTCTAAAAATCAATTAAAAAAATAAATACATCTTAGAGTAAGGCATTTGAAATATTTTGAGTTGAGTTTTTATCATAGAACAAATTTATTTATTTTATTTTTTTATCCTCACCCGAGGACATTTTTCCATTTTTTGTTCAGGTAGGGTGGGAGGGAGAGAGAGAGAGAGAAACATCGATGTGAAAGGAACACATCGAGTGGCTGCCACCCACACAACCGACCAGTGCCGGGAACAAACTGCAACCGAGGTACACGCCCTTAGCGGGAACCGAACCCGGGTCTATCAGGACCGCAGGCCGACGCTCTAACCGCTGAGCCAAACCGGCCAGGGCTCATAGAACAAATTTAATAGTATGCTATTAAATAATACATTTAAGTCACTTTGCTTAAATTGGCCTGTCATTTTTAACCTTTAAGGTAATCAAAATCATTGTTTTGGTTTAAATTGCTGTACACAATAATAGATGTCACAGAATTTTCAGGGACAAAAATAATAGGGGCATTTTATGATAGAAACTATGTAGAAAATCTGATGGAAACTTATTTAACATTCATGTTTCCATGCTAATATTTTGTTGTTTTGTTATAGGAAACGTCCTGATCAGACATGGGTTCAATGTGATTCCTGTTTAAAGTGGCGAAAATTACCGGATGGGATAGATCAACTTCCAGAAAAATGGTATTGCTCCAATAACCCTGACCCACAGTTCAGGTACTGTGTAGTTGGTAGTATCCTGTTTGGAAAGGAGGAAATACTGTTCAAGATGCATGAATAGGCACTGGTGACCTGTTCTTCCCATGTGATTTTTCTGACTAGAAATTGTGATGTTCCAGAAGAACCTGAAGATGAGGATTTGGTGCATCCCACTTACGAAAAAACCTACAAAAAGAAGTGAGTGTTGTACTAATGTGAGGTGGGAAGAAAATGCCGAAATCCTCAATAGTAGCGTGTCTACAGTAATAGTTGATGATTCTTCAAAATAAAGCTAGTACAGTTGACCTTCGAACAGCTTGGGGTTAGGGGTGCCAATCAACCCCCCACACCCTGCTCTCCTGCAGTCAAAAATTCACCTATAACTTAAGTTGGCCTTCTGCGTTCTTGGTTGTTTGACTCTGCAGATGTGAAACGCAGGGATATGGAGGTCTGACTGGATGTTTATTGAGAAATAGTCCGTGTATAGGAGCACCCACGCAGTTATGACCCATGTTGTATTCAAGGGTTGACTGTACAGCCAAAAAGATTATGACCCAAAAAATATTTTGATGTGGGATACATAATAGCAAGTGCTTTTAAAAAAAAGTTAATGTTATGAACAGCTTTTTTTTTTTTTTACTTGTTTTTTTTTTATCCTCACCTGAGGACATTTTTTTTTTTTTTTTCTTTCCATTTTTTGTACAGATAGAGTGGGAGGGAGAGAGAGGAAGAGAGAGAGAGAGAAACATCGACGTGAAAGGGACACATCGAGTGGCTGCCACCCGCACGACCAACCAGGGCCGGGGACAAACTGCAACCGAGGTACATGCCCTTAGCGGGAACCGAACCCGGGTCTCTCCGGACCGCAGGCCGACGCTCTAACCGCTGAGCCAAACCGGCCAGGGCTTTTTTACTTGTTTATTGCTGTCCTATATACAAGATAGTTTGCATACACAATAGTTTGTCTTTTGGGGCCACACACAGATATTCATAAGTGAATACTGCCCTTTATGAGTTTATAGTCTAACAGGGAAGGAGAGACACGTTATTACCACTTAGAAGTTGACAAGTACCATACAAAGCACAATTCAGCCCTGTTAGGAAGGCCACAAGGAGAGATTACTTCTGGTCTGGGCATGAAGAGGGCAAAATGGATCAGGAGAATTTATGAAGGACATTTTTATAGTAGGTCTTGAAGGTAGGATGAGAATGTACAGGGAACAGTGATGTGTTTGGCTTAACTAGAGTGAGTATGAGTGGGCATACTGGAAAAGGGAGGTGGGCTAGAGAAGCTGGGTAATGAGTGGTGGTCAGTCAGCCTTGGTGAACTTTGGGCTGATGTGTTGCACATAGTAGACTGGGTTCACTGAGAACTTCCAGGGAGTTTGGATTTGTAGTAGTTTTTCAAGATAAATCCAGCAGGATTGGAAGTAGACAAACCAGTTAGAATCCTGTGTGGTATTCCCATTCAAAGACCTGCAAACAACTGGAAAGCTTGAGGCCTATGGGCATTAGGGTGTTACCCAGATGAGAGGTAGAAAGTTAGTCCCCTGGCTAAGGGCTAACCACTGATTATAGTGTACCATCTGAGTGACTTGGTAGTAAATACAAGTATCATTGCAAGACAAAATTGAAAAATAATAAATAAATTTAAATATGTTTTTCATCTTTTTTTTTTTTTTTTTTTTTTTTTAAAGAGATAAGGAAAAATTCAAGTTCAGACAACTGGATAGGATCCCTCAGGTAATTAAGCCGTCCATTTTATAGCTGTGTCTTTATTGGGTAGTGATTAATTTAACAATTAATTTTAAAGCTTAGAAGTTAAGTTACTCTTGTTCTTTCAGTTCACGTAATTTCTCTTTTCTTGTACCCCTCCTTCCCAACCCTGACTTCTTAACCCAACAACTTCATTCAAGCCGTTCAATTTTATTATCTAGTTGGGCATCTTTGAGGAAAGGCAGACATTCTTTTAAGAATCCTGTTGCTAGGCAGTCAAGGAGAAGTTCACAGGAACACCCAGAGAGTCATGTTCTAGTACTAACCTGGACTGAAGCTGTGGTGTTTTCTTTCTCTTTGTTTACCACTCTTCCTGGCCCTTCTGTTTCTTTTTTAATGCTTAATGGTGTTAAGGAGTATATGACTAGGTGGTCATACTTGTGTGAGAAGTTTTGGTTTGCTGCAGATGTGTACGTTTGCTTATAATCACATTGAAATGTTTTCTTGTATAAAGGCTTAGGGTTTGGGGGTGAGAACAGAACTGGGAGGAAAAGAATAGTGGACTTAAGGCAGTATCTTTAAAAAAAAATCTTTTTTTATTTACTGATTTTACAGAGAGAGGAAGGGAGAGGGAGAGATAGAAACATCGATGAGCGAGAGCATCAATTGGCCGCCTCCTGCATACCCCACACTGGTAATTGGGCCCACAGCCTGGGCATGTGTCCTGATCGGGAATCAAACAGGTGATCTCTAGTGCAGGGTTGACGCTCAACCACTGAGCCACACCAGCAGGGCTAAATGCAGGATCTTTATGCCTGTCTTTAATTTCTTTTTCTTAGAAAAATAAGTTTTTGTTATGTCTTGGTAAGTTCTATGTATAGTACAGGACCAGCAAATCTTTTCTGTAAAAGGCCAGCTAGTAAATGTTGTAGGCTTTATGGACCACATATAGTCTCTGTTGAATATTTTTTGTTTGTTTTGTTGTTTTGTTCATGCCTTATAAAATATAAAACCATTCTTGGCTCACTTGCAGGATGAATGTGGCTCATCGACCGGTTGTATTTTGCTCCCTAGTATAGCACAAGGAATGAACAGGGTAGGCTAGTTCTCAACATCTTCTGGGATAAGGGGAAAAGGGAAAATAATGTCTTATGTTTTGGGCCTGGCACATAAAAAAATTCCTTTAAGATCATTTTTTTTTTTTTACTCCAACAGATTAATACTGAGCTATTGTTTCAAACACCTGTGGCAAGTGGAAGTTTTTCTCCCGTGAAGGACAGTGTTCCAAGAGGACATCTTTCAGAAACAGCCAATACTTATGCAGCAAGACTTGTGAATAATCATCGAGATTCACCCCAGTCTGAACCTGAGAACAACAGGTCAGCGGCAAAAATGTGGTTTTCCATTTGGAAAACGAATATATCCATATTTTTTTTTATTCCTCACCCAAGGATGCTTTTCTATTTATCTTTAGATAGAATGGGAGGGAGGGAGAGAGAGAGAGACAGAGAGAACCATCGATATGTTAGAGCCACATCGACTGGTTGCCTCCCGCACGACCCGACCAGTGCCGGGGACACCACAACCGGGGTACAGGCCCTTGGCAGGAATCGAATCTGCAACTCATTGGTCTGCGGGCTGATGCTCTAACCGCTGAGCCAAACTGGCCAGGGCTGAAAAATGAGTATAAAACAGAGCCTTTACTTGGCACTTGTATGGCAATAATGCACTTCTAAGAAATTGTAGTTTATGTGCATGTAAAAGTCATAAGGACAAGTGACTGCTTATATATCTACACTTACCCCACCCCACTTAATGCCACCTATTTAAATCAGTTAAAAAAATTAATTGTATTTATTGTGGAATTTGATCAAATTGTCACCTCTTTGAGATAATATGAAAATGTCTCCCCACCCCCATTGTTTTTTTAATCCTTGCCTGAGGATATTTTTCTTTTTTTTTTTTTTTTTTAATCCTCACCCGAGGACACTTTTCCATTCCTTGTTCAGGTAGAGTGGGAGGGAGAGAGAGGAACAGGGAGAGAGAGAGAAACATCGATGTGAAAGGAACACATCGAGTGGCTGCCACCCGCGCAACCCACTAGGGCCGGGGACAAACTGCAACCGAGGTACGCGCCCTTAGCGGGAACCGAACCCAGGTCTCTCAGGACCGCAGGCCGACGCTCTAACCGCTGAGCCAAACCGGCCAGGGCCTGAGGATATTTTTCTATTGATTTTTGCATAGAATGGGAGCGGGGAAGACAGAGAGAGAGACACACACATTGATGTGAGAGAGGCACATTGATTGGTTGCCTCCCTCATGACTAGGGCCAGGGATCAAACCTGCAACCGAGGTACGTGCCCTTGACTATGAATCGAACCCGCGACTCTTTGACGCCCTAACTAGCCAGAGCCAAAGATATATTTTTATTATTTTTTATTATTTTTTATTTTTTTTTAATCCTCACCCGAGGACATTTTTTTCGATATTTTGTTCAGATAGAGTGGGAGGAAGAGAGAGAGAGAGAGAGAAACATCGACGTGAAAGTGACACATCGAGTGGTTGCCACCCGCACGACCCAACCAGGGCCGGGGACAAACTGCAACCGAGGTACGTGCCCTTAGCGAGAACCGAACCCGGGTCTCTCCGGACCGCAGGTCGACACTCTTACCGCTGAGCCAAACCGGCCAGGGCTTATTTTTTATTTTTTTAAGAGAGAGAGAAATAATGATCTGTTGCCTCCTCTACATGCCCCAGTTGGTAATCAGACCTGCAACCTTTTGGTGTACACTACAGGATGATGCTCCAACCAACTGAACCACACCGGGCCAGGGAAATTTCTACTTTTAAGATTATCAAGAGGCAGCCTGTGAACCAAGGGTTGTGGGTTCAATTCCTGGTCAAGGGCATGTACCTGGGTTGCTGGTTCGATCCCCAACCCCAGTCAGGGTCGTGTGAGAGGCAACCAATTGATGTCTCTCTCTCTTTCCTTCTCTCCCTTCCACTTTATCTAAAATTCAGTGGAGAAACATATCCTTGGGTGAGGATTAACAACCACAAAAAAGATGATCAGTATCTAAGTAAAGAAAAACATGAAGTAATTAACAGTACAAGATTATAATGTCAACTGTGACACATAAAGTTTTGGTATAGCCCATGACACTATATTTTGGATGAGTTGTTGGAGAAGGAAGAGGAAGAAAGGTATGAGTAATAATGAATTGAACAGTTGTGATGAGGTGGTATTTTTTTAGGTTGGTTCCTGAAATCCTGAAAGCAGTGTTCTGTGAACATGGCTCATTCAAAGGGAATAGAATGAACACAGATGAGGAAAGAACATATGGCCAGTGAACTAGTGGATCAGACTGACTATACCTAATGTTGATTGAAAGAGAGTGAAGCCAGATTTTCAGAGAGGTATTGTAGCCTTCATCAAATTCTCCAAGGGCTTTTTGACCTCAGGAAAGATTAGAAATAATTGCCTTTATACATATGTACCTCAAGAAGGACATGTTCTAAAATAGTTTACTGTTTATACCCCACATCTGGGGGACTTGTTTTGGGGCTGGACTGCTACTTATCTAAGAATTTGTGTGAATGTTTTTAAATCTGTCTCTTTCATATTCTTTTTTTTTTTTTTTTAAATATGTTTTTATTGAGCTCTGGCCGGTTTGTCTCAGGGATTAGTGTGTCAGTCCACGGACCAAAGAGTCGTGGGTTCAATTCCGGTCAAGTCCATGTACCTCGGTTGCAGTTCATTCCTGGCCCTGGTTGGGGTCATGCAGGAGGCAACCAGTCAATGTGTTTCTCTCACGTTGATGTTTCTCTTTCTCTCCCTCTCTCTTCCCCCATCCCTCCCACTCTATCTGAAGATAAATAGAAAAATACCCTCCCTTGGGTGATGATTTTTATATATATATATGTGTGTGTGTGTGTGTGTGTTTATTTATTTTTTTTAGAGAGAGAGAAACATCCATCAGCTGCCTCCTGCATGCTCCCTACTGGGGATTGAACCTGCAACCTGGGCATGTGCCCCAACCGGGATTGAATCAGGACCTCTTAGTCTATGGGACGATGCTCAATCCACCGAGCCACACCGGCCAGGCATCCTTCATATTCTTGGTTTCTCCTCATAAAATTGTTCCAGACAGCCTTGGCCGGTTTGGCTCAGCTGTTGGAGCATCGGCCTGCGGACCAGAGAGTCCTGGGTTTGGTTCCCGCTAGGGAAACATACCAAAAAAAAAAAAAAAAAAAAAATTGTTTCAGACAAGGAAAGAAGTAAAATCTATAAAGTTTATAGAGAAAAAATGACTATCATCAAAATGGAAGCATATTTAGAGAAATTTTTTATTACTTTTTAAAGCTCATATTTATTTTCAAATTCATAGAGCCAAAGTCTGTGGAAAGACTTACCTAAAGTAAGTCTTAACAGTGACAAATTAGGGTTAAGCCTGATAAGAAAAATAATAGGGCAACTTTCAATTAACTGGTTTACTCCAGAGACCTCTTGACACAGAACTTAGAAACACCGGGTATTTCTGAAGGTAGAAATTAGGGCTGAGAAAAGGAGGCTTGTTTGAATGTTTAAGGAGGAGCAGTTTCCTGGTCCTCTTCTTAACTTGCAAAGCTTGGCAACACTGTTTCTCTTCCTATGTCAGAAGGTGAGTAGTTACCTTCTGGAGTACTTTCTACTGTTAGAAGATATTGTTGATCCACTGTTTGGAAAGTAGGAGTAAGTGTAAGTTTGTATACTGAATGGTGAGAATCCCCCTCCCTCCCCTCAGTGGGTTTCCAAGATAAAAGCCTTAGATTATGATGAGAGTTTGAGTGCCCTTGAATCACAGGCCCAGTTCTCACTCTGAGATAGAAAGAGATGGCCAAGAATCACCATGCACAAAATGAAACAAAGGGAGTGAAGAAACCTTGTGACATTTCCTGGGAGGTGGGTAGATGTTGCACAGAAAAATCTCTTAGCGTGGAAAGACAAATAGTTGCAAGGTAGAAAAAAGAAGAGACCAGTACAAGAAGGTTAACATCTGAATAAGGAAATTTCAAAATAAGTAAATCAGAAAACAAGGGGGAGGAAATAATGGGAGAAAGACTTAATTCCACTGCATATACAGCATAATGTCTGGGCAGAGCTCCATTCTGAGTAACAACCTGAAATTGTAGAAACCAGAGAAAAAAGAGCTATTTTTAGAGAGGAAGAACACAAACCTGTATGCAAAAGGACAAGGATGAGAATAGCAGAAAAACTGAGTTGTAGATGGGAATGGATGATGCTTTTAAAGTTTTGAAAAAGTGCCCTGGCCGGTTTGGCTCAGCGGTTAGAGCGTCGGCCTGCGGTCCGGAGAGACTCGGCTTCGGTTCCCGCTAAGGGCACGTACCTTGGTTGCAGTTTGTCCCCGGCCCTGATTGGGTCGTGTGGGTGGCAACCACTCGATGTGTCGCTTTCACGTCGATGTTTCTCTCTCTCTCCTTCCCTCCCACTCTATCTGAACAAAATATTGAAAAATGTCCTCGGATGAGGATAAAAAATAAAATAAACTTTTGAGAAAGTAACTTCCAATCTGAAAGTGTGTATAAAACCAAGCCAGTAAACTTAAGAGGCAAATAAGCCATTTCATCATGCAAAATTTTACATTTGTTAAGTCCTGTGTATGCTCACCGGAGGACATTTTTTTTTCTGTTTATCTTCAGATAGGGAGGGAGGGACCGAGAGAGGGAGGGAAAGAGATAAAACATCGATGTGAGAGGGACACATTGACTGGTTGCCTCCCACATGACCCTGACCAGGGCTGGGGACAAACCACACTGATGTATGTGCCCTTGAATGGAATCGAACTGGAGACTCATTGGTCCGTGGGCCGACTCTCTAACCACTGAGCAAAACCTACCAGGGCCTGTATATGCCTTTTTTTTAAAATCCTCACTCGAGGACACTTTTCCATTTTTTGTTCAGATAGAGTGGGAGGGAGAGAGAGGAAGAAAGAGAGAGAGAGAAACATCGACGTGAAAGGGACACATCGAGTAACTGCCTCCCACACGACCCAACCAGGGCCGGGGACAAACCGCAACCGAGGTACTTGCCCCTAGCGGGAACTGAACCCAGGTCCCTCTGGACCGCAGGCTGGTGCTGTAACTGCTGAGCCAAACCGGCCAGGTCTGTGGATGCTTTTTTAAAGATTTGATTAGAGATTGTTCCCCCTTGATAGGAGTAAGTCCAAGAAATGAAAATCTTTTCTTTTTTAATCCTTCTCCGAGGAGATATATAACATTTTATAAAAATATTTTATTTTATTTTATTTTTATCCTCACCTGAGGACATTTTTCCATTTTTTGTTCAGATAGAGTGGGAGGAAGAGAGAGAGAGAGAGAAACATCGATGCCGGGGACAAACTGCAACCGAGGTACGTGCCCTTAGCGGGAACCGAACCCAGGTCTCTCTGTACCGCAGGCCGACACTCCAACCGCTGAGCCAAACCGGCCAGGGCTATAAAAATATTTTAAATATACATTAAATATATATGTATAATTTTAGAGAGGGAAGAAATAAAGAGAAACAGCAGTGTGAGAGAGAAACATCTATCAATTGCCTCCCTTACACACCCCAGCCTGGATGAAACCCACAACTAACTGAGCCACTTGGCTGGAGTGTGAAAACCTTTTTTTGTTAATTCTCACCTGAGGATATTTTTTCCACTGATTTTAGCCAGTGGAAGGGAGAGGAGGAAGAGGGGTAGAGAGAGAGAAACCTCAATGTAAGAGAGATACATTGGTTACCTCCCAGGTGCCCCAACCTATAAATCATTTATATACCCGAGGCCCTTTGGTGCGTGGGCCAGCACTCTATCCACTGAGCCACATCAGCCAGGGTCAGAAAATCTTTCTTAAATCAAGAAAACCTGAGGTCTAACACAAAAGGCCCAAATAGCAAACCAGTACAAATATCCCTCTAAGTGTGGCAGAAAGCAGTCAATGATAAATTCACGCGATTCTAAGCAAATGAAGAAAATGAGGCAGGCAATTTTTAATGCAAGGAATGTTGTTTTACATAAAAGATAGGGCATACCGGTTTACTTAGTGGCTCCTTGATCACTGAATGTTGTTACAAATCATAGTGGGCAAACAGGAATGGCATTGCCACTCTCTGAGCTCTAGAATACAAAGGGTGGACCTGCAGTGGGTGATGGCATTCTGGTTTGGACATGGGTACTTTGAAATGCCCAGAGGACAGCAAATGAAGAAATATTTGGCAGTATATACATCTGGCACTTTAAAGACACCACAACATTCTGTTTCCTCATTTGTAGGAGGAGAAAGTAATCTGTATTCCATTAACTCATTTGGTAGTACTGTGGAATAATTTATCAGTGTTTTAAAAAATAAGCATGAGTATTTCTTCAAATTTTAAGGTAGTGTACTTCAAGGTCATCTATTTTGTCCATATCTATATTTTATAATCTTATTTTATATATAATTTTTTTTCCAGCATGAAACGGAGACTTTCTCCTCGTTCCTCAATGTTTAATGCAAAGAGTCGGAGATTGAGTAATCAAACATTTGAAAATTCAGCTTATAAAGAGGATGATGAAGATGTCATCATCTTAGAAGAAAACAGTACTCCCAAGCCTGCAGTTGATCATGATGTTGACGTGAAATCTGAACAGAGTCACACTGAGCAAAGTGGTGTTCAGGGTGAGCCTGAGCCTATGGATAACAGTGAACCTTGTGACCAGACTAGTTCAACAGGCACCTTGCTATCCACGTGTGATCAGGGAACTGCTGTGGCCACCCAGACTGAGGTACCAGGCTTAGTTGTTAAAAAGGAAGAAACTGTTGAAGATGACATAAGTACACGAAATGATACAGCCATAATACCATCCAGTGTGGAAGCTGAAGGGAAGACACATGAAACCCAGGAAATCTTTGAAAAATCTGTGGGCGATGCTGGGTGCCAGTTAAATGAACTGAGAAATGAGCTGCTTCTAGTTACCCAAGAAAAAGAAGATTATAAAAGACAATGTCATATGTTTACTGATGAAATCAGACTGTTAAAACAGAGGATATTGGAAATGAATAACAAATATGTGAAGAAGGAAACTTGCCATCAATCTACCGAAACTGATGCTGTGTATTTACTTGAAAGTGTTAATGGCAAATCTGAAAGTCCAGATCACATGGTATCTCAGTATCAGCAAGCCTTGGAAGAAATAGAAAGGCTGAAAAAACAGTGTAGTGCTTTGCAATATGTAAAGCCCGAATGTAGTCATTGTTCCAATAATGAGAGTAAAAGTGAAATGGATGAAATGGTTGTGCAGCTTGATGATGTCTTTAGACAGCTGGACAAGTGCACTGTTGAGAGGGACCAGTATAAAAGTGAGGTGAGTTATGTATGTCCTTCAGCATCCTGGTAGTCTTGGGAATCCAGGGGCATCTAAACTTGAAAGAACTGCTAGTTGCTAGATTGGAGTAAATCACTTAGTATTTCCATTTATTGACTGTTACTCCACTGGTTCTGAACTGGGGGTCAGCCCTCCTGGGACATATGGAAATGTGTAGGGGTAGTTTTGGTTCTTAAAATGTCTTGAGATAGATGGGCATCGTTGGAATGCAGTGGGTGGTGACCGGCTCTGTTAAATGTCCTGTAATGTACAGGATATTGCTTTGTAGCTTTGCTTCAAACTGTGCAGTTGTCTGAGGTGGTTTTCAGGCCCAGCCATTATGTATCTTAACATTCCAAGTGGCAGGAAAGCGGAAGATGCGGTTTCTGAAAGTTACTTTTATTCCATCTGTTGAGACTTAAGTCACCTGGCTAATGGATGCCTTGGAACTATAGTCTTTATTCGTGGCTATTTTACTGAGGAAGGAGATTTAGCTATCAAGAGATAAGTAGTAGCCTCTTCATGTGCTCCCAATTCAACTTTGGGTAACTCCTTTTTTTAAGAAAATCTATTTTATGTATCATATTTACATGGTGTTTGAAAGGAGGGGTGTCTCTGCTAAAAAGAGTTTGGAAACACCAGTACTGCCTGTTCCTGCAAATCCTGCTCAAACTTTCATCTTCATGTTTCATTGGCTTAGCATCTAGATGACAGAATATATTGAAATTGATATAAGCTTTGTGTTATAAATTAGCTGGTGAGTGTGCAAGGAAGGAAAACCACTGTGATGTCAACATTATTGGGGCATTTTTCTCTTGGTTTTCCAGTTTTCATGTACCATTTGTTTTCAGTCAGGTTGTAATTGACATTTTGTATTCTTTCAATGGAAAAAGGTGAGACTAAAATGAAGCTTTGTTTATAGAAAGCTATTGGAGGTTTTGGCTAATGTTGTTTGTAGTTATTTTCTTGAAGCAGTTTTTTTACATTTCTTAGCTTAAATTTACACTTTAATGTTAGTATTTTTTTTAACTTTACAGTTAAAAATTTAATTTTTTTGTCAGGTTGAATTATTGGAAATGGAGAAATCACAAATTCGTTCACAGTGTGAAGAACTGAAAACTGAAATTGAGCAATTAAAATCTGCAAGTCAACAGAAAGGAACAGATGTTTCAACTTCAAGTAATATTGAGGAGTCTGTAAATTATGTTGATGGGGAAAGGTAATTTAAATTAAGACATTTTGCTGTGGCAGTTCTTGTTAGCCAGATACTTATTTGCTAACACACATCTAACAGCTACTCTGTTCAAAGCAGTTACTGACTGCTGTGATCCCGACATGGTGATAGAGAGAAAAGAGTACATATCATCATCCTTCCCCTCAAGAAACTAACAGTTTAGGTTCAACTTAAGTGAAATAGGAATTTTGAAGGACTATAGCACTTAATTGGTCAGAGTGGTTTGGAATGTTTGATTTCTTTTACTTTTGTATTTTGCACTATTTGTTTATAGTTTGTTGTCCTCATTTTACTACTATGTTACTATGTGCCCTCCCCCATCTTAACGTTTAGGAAATCCCAGAGTTACTAAATATTACCATAGTACAGGTGATTATTAGGAAGATGTTCTATGAAAATAAGAAAACAGCAAATGAATGATTACCCTGTCACTCAGTAAGCTATAAAATGGAGTTAGCTTTCTGTTTCAATTTGTTTTTAAGAGTATTCTGAGAAGTTCAGGTGGGGAGGGGATGGCAGCGTTGGTGCTGTGTTCATGGCTTACATTCATAAATAGACATTAGGGGCTAAAATTGTGCAATTCTTTCTCATATAATAGGACTTCAGATCTAAATGATACTGTTGAGAAATAATCTCCTACTGTCCTCACATGACCATCAATTATATTATTACTTTGTTTTTTAGCTTAAGGTTTTGAAAGATTTCACTAAATATGTTCATGGAAATAGAAACAGTAGAGTGCTACATATAAGCATGAAGGGAAAGGGGTCAGAAAAAACTCCCAACTGGTGTTTCTAAAAATGGGAACCACAAGCATTTTTGGTGCTTATAGAAATGCAGATCCTTGGGCCATAGTGCAATTTATTAAATTGGAAACTTTGAAACAATATCCCAGATGATTTTCTTGCACACTAACCTTTGAGTAACTGATGATCTTTTAGACATACGTTTTCCAAAATAGTATAGCCACATGTGACTACTAACACTTGAAATCTAGCCAGTCTGGACTGAGATGTGCTTTAATTATAAAATATATCCTACAGTTTCGAAGCTCTAGTATGAAAAGAAAAATACAAAGTACCTCAGTAAAAAGATATTTTGATTATATGATGAAATGATATTTTAGTGATGTGGGGTTAACTAAAATATATAACCAACATTTTTGTTTCATTTTACTTTTTATTTGAAATATTTGAACATTTTAAATTGCATATGGAGCTCACAATATTTCTCTCAGACATTGATGTTTTATACGCTAAAAATAGGAAATCTGTGACATGTTTGGTGATGGGAGGAATTAGCCAGGGACAATCAAAGATTTAAAGAACAGGTAAAAGGGTTGTAGGATCACACTAGTTTTTTGTCTGCTTTTCATAAAGGTTTTGATTATGAGAAAGAGAATATTCTTGGAAGAATATAGGATGGTTAATAGTTCTGCAAAGCAAACCAGAAAAGTATTTGGACCCTGGGCCTCTGATGGAAGATGATGAGTGGGAAAGCTTGGATAAAAAACAGCTGGCATGGGGATGGTGTAAAATTTTATCAAAGGTTCTATGGAATCTTACCATGCAAGCCAATAAAACGTGTTTAAAATCACATACTTTTTTGTACGTTGTTAAATCCAAGATGAGCATCTTACCCCTTCAGAGATTTCCACCCTAGAAAGATCAGTATCTGTAAACTCAGTGCGGATTTATGTCTGAGGGTGCAGAACCAGCAGCTTCAGTATTCTCTCTGGATCCATGTGTTCAGTCTTTAAAGCTAAGGCTGCTGTAGGTATTTAAAGTCTAAAATGCTGATATTCAGATACATATGTATGAACTTGGAAGGAATGATAATGATGAGCTCATCCAGGATTTCTCAGCGTTTTCAGCAAAACTTCCCTGTAGTGAATTTAAAAAACAGATAGTCGGTGAACTTTAGCATGAAGTCTTGCCTTTTAAAAAGTCTTGTTTAACATTATTTAACCCAGTGTTTTATAAGCATATTTGAGCTCTTTATTCCCTTATATAATAATGGGTATTCAGAACAAACATGTTTAGGGAACAATTCGGTTTATTTTCCTTTCATTCTTAGAACAATATTCTCACTAGTACGTCACTACTGTTTCCTAGATAACAATATTTCAAGTTGTAAATAACATCTTATAATTGATCTATTTTACCAATCTATGTTATCTCTAGTCTCAAATCAAAGTTGTATCCATTGGAACCAAAGAGCCACTAGTGTATGAAACACTACTGACAGACATGTAATCATTACATTGAATTATGAATTATTAATAAGTGGATTAATGGTCCCCTTAAATATTAAGCCTACATAAATACTAAACTGTGTTAGAGTGTTCAGCTAATAAATGTAATATTTGTATTTGCAGCCTCAAACTGCGATCTCTCCGAGTTAACGTAGGACAGCTGCTGGCCATGATTGTACCTGACCTCGATCTTCAGCAAGTGAATTACGATGTTGATGTAGTTGATGAGATTTTAGGACAAGTTGTCGAACAAATGAGTGAAATCAGTAGTTCTTAAAGTATATTTTATGTGAGATAATAAAAATATTTGCTCATTACTTTTGGTTGTACAGCTTTCAAATTGTAAATAATTTTGTTTTATAGATAAGATAGGTGACAGACTGAAGAACCCTAATCTTTACTGTATCCTATGCATTCAAGTGTGGCCACAAACATGTGGACATATCACACCTTTTGAAATGCCTGTGGGTTGTTGATATTGAGTGGCTGAATAGCTAACTCATGTTTCTGTTTTAAAATGAAAATATTTGTAATTAAGTCTGCACATATTTTTTTATTACCCTAGAGGACATAAGTGTTTTTCACCAAGAGGTTTTCAGGTTGCCCCTGACTTTCGTGCAATCTTTTCTGGTTTCCCAAAGTGTATTTTTATCTGAAGTGAGGGCTGTGCCATACATAATACAAATGGAAATGCTACCTTTGGTTTTCTTCCAGAGAAGTTTAAACAGGCATTTGTAAAAAAAAAAAAATGGATTGATAAGTTGTAAGTGAATTGAACATTAATGTTTCTTTTTTATAAGTGCTTATCACCTGAAATATTTTATTCATGAAAACAAGGTAAGCAGAAACTATCTCCATCTATTTTGCCAGGATATTTTCTGTTCTGAGATTGCCAATCATCGTTAAAAAGGTGTTTTTATACAACAGAGAAATGATCTTTAGTATAAAAAACTATCAAGTATATTAACTGTCTGACCATGTTTATTTTGAAGCCCATTTTGGCTGCTTAGCATGGAGTGGGCACAATAATTGCTAATATTTCTTTTTATGAAATTTCCTGTACAGCCTTTTATAGGATTACTACAGGTTAATGTGAGTTGAGGAAGACATCTTTCTCGAAAAATACTGCATACCTTTTATTATATTACAAACCTAAGTGTTTTATGTCCAGGTTAAGCAACAAATTGCCCTAGGATTATAGTATTACATGCCACAAAAATCATTGTGCTTATTCGTCTCCTGTTTTGTGCAATTTTAAAGAGATGGCTTTCTATTAAGTTTAACTGTATATATAATTAATTTTCCACAACTAAAATGTGCATTATTTTTTTTAAAGTTTTATCATTGCTATTTATTTTTACTTTTGTTTCTGAACATTCAATACGTTTTTTTTTTGTATGTATGTTTACTTACATGTCTGTCATATAGAATATAAAATTTTTACTGTACATTAAGTTCTAGAAAAAGCAAATAAATGAAGATTGTTTTATTTGCTTGATAAAGTAATTGAAAGTGTATTTTTGGTATGAAGCTGGTTTTCTGTCACAGTTGTATCTACCTAAAACTTAAGAGATCTTGTAATAAAATAAAATATATATGATGGCTAACTCTTCAGATATTACTTTTAAAGAATTCTACATTCTAATTATATTTTGAAAACCAAAATGTGTTCATTAAGACCCTAAAGTTGACCTCATTTTACTATATTAATTACAAGTTCTGTTTAGAAGGCTAAGACTGTTTCCATTAAGCCTCTAAGACAGAGCTCATGTTGAAGGAGTGTGTGCATGTGTGCTTGTATTTTACTTGGGAAGAAATGTTTTTTGTCTAAATCATTTAGTCTAAAGAAACCTTGTCTAGGGGGAGAGGGAAGTTCTTATGCAAAGAACTTATGCATATAAGTATAACCATGGATATAGACAACAGTGCTGGGGGTGTGGGGTGGCGGGAATAGGAGGAGGGTGTCAATGGGGAAAAACGGAGAAACATCTGTAACAAAAATATATTAAATAAAAAGAAATGAATACCATTAAAAAAAAAACTTGTCTACATGATAGCAGCTATATAGAACAGGTCTAAGTTTGCAAATATTTATATAGCCATTTTTTCAGGAATTTGCTTTTATTTTGTTCCTTTTGGTCAGCTGTATGCTTGCAAAAAATATGTATTTTATGGATGTTATCTGCTTAATGGGAAAGTTGATCATAGGATTAGTAAGACAACCTTTTGCTAAATTGGTTCTTTGGGAGTACATACATATTTTTCGCCCTCTAAGAAAATAATTGCCAAGATGGGATTCTTTGAAAATATGGCTAACAGTTTTTTGGTGGTTGTTTTTTACTGCTCCAGTCGACAAAAGGGAAACTTCATTGAGGCCTCAGGGACACAGGTTTCAGGCAGAAGGCAGGCCTGTGGGCTAAGGAGGCGGTAGAGGGACCTTATTTAACTTTTTTCTCGGGGCACAGGTTGTTGGTGTGGCTGCGCTTCTTGCAGCAGTTGACAGGGGTGCAGGCAGGTGTAACACTTTCGGCAGATCATCTTGTCGAAGTTGTTCTTCTGGGCAAGCTGGCCGAGGAGGGCTCCATGATGCCACCCACAGACACACCAAGTGCAGGGTGGACTCTCTAATATTGTAGTCAGGGAGAGTGCGGCCATTCTTTAGCAGTTTGCCTGCAAAAATCAGACGCTGCTGGTTAGGTGAGATGCTCTCCTTGTCTTGGATTTTAGCTTTGACACTCTTAGTGGTGTCTCTGGGCTTGCTCTCAAGGGCAGTGGGCTTGCCAGTCAGGGTTTTCACAAAGAACCGAATCCCTGTGTCTGCTGTGGATGCTGCTGGGCTGCCTTGAAGAGAAAGCTGGCTAACAGCTTTGAAGGCAACGTGGGCTCTCATGGCATATGTACCATTTAGAGATACCTATCTTTTTTGTTAAATTTGTAAAAGGCTAGTGTAGGGGGCAGTATTGCTTAAATTAATTAATTTTAAAACAAAAACAGCATGAGGAAGTAAACTAGAATAGTCTACAACCCCAACAAACAGGACCTGCTTTAGTCAGCTAAGGCTACAAAGTCAGTAATAATTAAATCAGAGTCTTTGGGATTGGACCAGATATCAGTATTTTATTAAGGCCTCCCAGTATGCCATCAGAGCTGAGAACCCTTCATCTATACCTTCCAGTGAGGAGCATTTACAAATGTTGAATTTGGGGGGTTCCTGAAACTCAGGATCAGCATGAACACTTTCTCACTGGAGGATGCAAGGAGCTGGGGATGGAGGTGGGGGGCAGAGTCAGAAGTGGAACAGTGGTATAGAGTGAAAGACTTCCCCACCACCTCCCTAAGGGTAACCACCATTGTCTTTTGTATGTCCTTCCAGAAAATGTTAGTTGAATACATATGTACACACTCATTCATATATATGTATATGTATATACACACACACAGTTTATATTAAAATTTCTATCTATATATTTTATTATATATTTGTGTCAAATTCACACAAAGGTGTTACACCATATAATTGGTAACATTTCATGACTCTTGAACAACTTTAATCACATTCTATGATATGAATATGCTGATGCTCATTTATTTTTTGTCGTTAGACATTACAAAAAAGGCTACTGTGGAAATTAATATGCACCACACACTTTAAAGTATATCCAAAGTGTAAGTCCCTTCAGTGAATATTGATAGGTCAAACACTGTATGCTGTGCACATTTTAATAAAGTTGCCATCCAAAAACGGTTGCAGGAATTTATACTCCTATGAAAAATAAATGTATGGGTTCTCCTTTATCGCTCTATCAAACTTACTTTTACTAATTTGATATGTGAAAAAACGGCAGAATTTCTTTGTCTCAGGCTGAACATGTCTTCATATATTTTATTGATTTTAATTTCTTCTGAGTATATCATATTCTTTGCTTATTCTATGCAGACCACGCCTAGCTTTCAGAAAATTCACAGCAGGTTAAGTCTAATTTTGCAGTGTCTCAGAAACAGACTCACTGGATTCATGTCTTTCCATATATTTATCTTTTGGACATTGGCCATGGCTCACAAAAGGATTCCCAGTAATACTCCTTGGCATGTAGGAAAATACTTATGTATTAGCTATTTAGAATTAAATTTTGTGATTATAAATTAATTTCCATAAACTGACCTGTAGGGGGAATGTCAAGACCAAAGCTAGAGAATCTTGGTAAATTCCAGCCATTCAAATACAGGTGAAGTTATTAAGTCAATGCAGTTGTAGAGAGTGAATTTACCATTATAAAACAAGTGAATCACTTAAATTTTCTACACATTCTAATAAGAATGAGTTGTTAGTAAATGCCATTTCCTATTTCAAACGTGTAAAACAGGTTTAACCTCAAGGTTCACTGTTGATTTCTTCTAAAGCAGTCAGATCTCAGTATCACGTTACAATATAGACTCAGTTTAAATCTGACTCGGCTGTATCTTCATGACAAAATGTAATGGTGCTTCAGATTCACAAAGTACATAAGTCAACCAACCATCTTCCTAATCTCCCATAGGTTCCCTGTGAAATGCTGTTGGAAGTTGTGACCTATGTTTTGAAAGTTTGTACTTTGATCTGAACCAAAGCTGATAAAGTAATTTGGGCTTATTTTATTTTTCTTTAAAAATTTTTTTTCCTTTATTGATTTTTCAAGAGATAGGAAGTACGAGGGAGAGAGATAGAAACATCGATGAGAGAGAACATCGACTGGCCGCCTCCTGCATGTCCTCCACTGGGGATCAGGCCCACAACCTGGGCAAGTGCCCTGACCAGGAATTGAACCAGCGACCTCTTGGTGCATGGGTTGAAACTCAAACCCCACTGAGCCACACTGGCCGGACTATAATTTTATTTTTCTATATAGCAATTGTCCCTTGTTTTGGTGACTCCCTTTTTACTTCCTTGTATGGTATATTTCTGTGTGTTTGTGGAGGCATGGAGACTATAGAAAATTGTTTCCAGTTTGCTGTATGACGCCAGGCAAGTCAGTTCTGGGGGAGAGGTATTCATGAGCTGCGGAGCGGAAACTTGCTATGAGATCCTCAGTGCCAGGAGTGTGAGTTGTCTAAGCAGCTGCCGGCAAGAGAAGGGACAGTCTGACATAACTACACTTGTAACCTCTGTTCCTGAGTAAAGAAATATAAGGGTCTAGGACAACAATATAGCACTTATTATACTTATATAATCCCTGGCCAGTTTTGCTCAATGGTTAGAGCGTGGGCCTGCTGACCAAAGAGTCGCGGGTTCAATTCCAGTCAAGGGCACGTACCTCAGTTGTGGTTGTGTGGGAGGCAACCAGTGGATGTGTCCCTCTCAGATCGATGTTTCTCCTCTCACTCTCCCTCCTTCCCCCTCCCACTCTATCTGAAGATAAAATGGGAAAATATCCTTGGGTGAGGATTAAAAAAAAAATTACATGAAATAGAGTATTCAGTGTAATAACAACTTGTAGTTTCTCATTTCCCACTAATTTACTGTGTTCTTATTTAATTAATTCATTTTTGTTACAGATGTTTCTCCTTTGTCCCCCATTGACACCCTCCTCCGGTTCCTGCCCCCCCCCCATTGTTGTCTATGTCCATTGGTTATGCGTATATGCATGAGTTCTTTGGTTTATCTCTTCCCTTCCCCTGCCCGCTCCTCTGAAGTTTGTGTCTGAACCCTACTGCTATGTCTCTGGGTCTATTTTGTTCATCACCTTATTTTGTTCATTGTATTTCACAAATAAGTGAGATCATGTGATACTTGTCCTTCTCTGACTGGCTTATTTTGCTTAGCATAATACTCTTCAGGTCCCTCCATGTCGTCTCAAAGGATAAGAGATCTTTCTTACAGGTGCATAGTATTCCATTGTGTATATATGTACCACAGCTTTTTTATCCACTCATCTATTGATGGACACTTGGGCTGTTTCCAGATCTTAGCGATTATAAATAGTGATATGAACATAGGGGTACATATATTTTTTCTGTTTAAGGCTTCTTAGGATATATTCCTAGAAGTGGGATCACTGGGTCAAATGGCAGTTCCACTTTTAATTTTATGAGGAAACACTATATTGTTTTCCATAGTGGCTGTACCAGTCTTCATTTCTACCAGTAGTGTCCCCTTTTCTCCACACCCTCACCAGCACTTGTTTGATGATTTATTGATGGCAGCCATATGGCAGGTGTGAGGTGATACCTCACAGTTGTTTTTATTTGCATATCTCTGATGATTAGTGATGCTGAGCATTTTTTCATGTCTCTTAGCCATTGGTATGTCCTGTTTGGAGAGGGTCTATTTAGGTCCTCTGCCCTTTTTTTAATTGGATTATTTGTCTTCCTTTTCTTGAGTTGTATGAGTACTCTATATGTTTTTGAAATTAACCCCTTATCTGATGTATTGTTGGCATTTATGCTCTCCCATATAATGGGTTCCCTTTCCATTTTGATGCGTGTTTCTTTTGCTGTGCAGAAACTTTTTAGTTTGATATAGTCTCATGTATTAATTTTGTTTGTTTGTCTTAGGCGTTGTATCAGTGAAAATTCTGCTGTGTGTAATGTCTGAAATTTTGTTGCCTACAGATTCTTCTAGGATT